TGCATTTTTGCTACGCAAGAAACTTAATTGCGTTGATGTGTGGAGCGCAGTATCGCGGAAGGAACGAATTTTGGTGGCGCTTACTACCACATCTGGCAACCTTAAACAGTGGTAACGGCGCATTTGATTCCGGCCGCTGGTGTTGATTTGCTGCTTTCTGTTTTGTTCTTGTTTTTTTTTTTCGGGTTACACGACATGCCTGGCTGCTGTTGTGCGCCGAACTGGAACTCAAACTATCTGAGTGGGCCGAAAGTGCGGATTTACCGCTCTCCTTCTGATGCGGAACGAAGAACGGCTTGGACAAAAGAAATACCTCGCGAACACTTCGCGCCAACGAAGTACAGCGTGGTGAGTAATTCCTCTTCCCGCTGTTTTATTTTCGTGGTTGTTGCATGTTCCCTTGCTGTTCGGGGTATGGCAATGATTCTTGATCTTACCAGCAGGGATGTCGCTGTTTTCTTTCTTGACACGGGGAATAGTTTTCAAGGTCTCGCGCATAGTTCTGAACGGGTGACGAAGACGGCGTCAGAATACTTACAGGAAGTAGTTTTGTGTCTATACGAGTGCGCATTAGAATTATTGCGACGTGTAACTTACCGCTTCCCATTTTATTGTCGTGGTACTGTTCGTGAATCGCCTTTCCTATATTGAGATTTTTGCACTTTCTACAGGTCTGTGAAAAGCACTTTTCTCTGGGTGACTTTGCCACTACTACAAAGTACACGGACGAAAAAACTGGACGAGTGCTTGAAGTTCCTCTCCAGTTAAGGCGGCTGAAGCCCTGCGCTACTCCTAGCATCTTCCCCAACTGCCCTGCATACCTGTCCCGCAACACACCTGCTTCCCGCGAAGGTCCTCAAGAAAAGCGCACTCGGCTTGAAGCGGAGGCCCTGCAGGGAGCACTGACGCTCTCCACCGAAGCTTATAAAGACGAACAGAGAAAGAATTCTGTTAGCAGCTTTGACGAACTCGTGGCTGCTCTCAAGAAATTCCAGGCGGCCGATTTCTGGACAAAGCTGGTCACTGACAAGCAAGTGCTTTTCTTGAACTTTGCTCCTCGGGATGCACCAGTTCTGCGCTATTCAGTGACGGTCTCTGCAGATCTTTCATTGAAAGCGTTCTTTGGGGAGCTGCAGCTGGACAAGGTTGGTCTTCTCATTTTTCCAATGTGTGTGTCTGACATTAGCGAGCTAGAGAGAGCTTTAGAGGCTGTGCATGGTTTTGCCAAGAACTTCTCTAACGATCAGCAGCGACTAGAAATTGTGTTAAAGAAGACAGTGGTAATTCTACAGGAGCTGTCATCAGGAAATTATGAACTTCTTAATGCAGCAGGTACACATGCTTCTAGGGAAGTCTCTGAATTACCCTGCAGACCTGCTTGTGTTTTCAAGTATCGTGTTCACAATATCTCCACACGCTTATAGGTTCATCCGGAGCACGTCAAAGCTCGAACTGCCCCATCCTGACACTCTTAGGCGTGTCTGTGCGCTGTACTGTGTCAACCCTTGCACAAAGCAGCAAAGTACCCTATTTTTGTCCTATGCAAAAAGACTTGCAGCTGCAATGAACGATCATGAGAAGACTGTAACGCTAGTCATTGATGAAATACAGATGCAGCCGTACCTCGACTATTAGGGTGGAACCGTAGTAGTAATGGCCACAAACAGTATAATTGCTGCAAAGACGGCATATGTGTTCATGACCCAAAGCCTTTTGTCAGCGAGCAAAGATGTTGTGCATATTCTGCCAGTAGTGCAGATAGATGCAAAACAGTTGCATGAATTTCTTCGTCAGCTGATAAATGAGCTCGAGAAGACCGGACTTCGAATTTTCGCAGTAGTTTTAGACAATAACTCCATCAATGGCAAGGCTATATAATTTTTTGCACAACCTCCAAAGGTTAACACTGTGTACCAGCATCCTTCGGACCAATCACAACCCCTGTTTTTTTGTTTTTTTTTATACTGTTTACGTGCTCAAGTGTGTAGGGAATAACTGGCTCAACCAGCGAAAGAGCAGCAAGTGCATGTTTTTCCCCGATATTAATTCTGCTGGCGATCAACCGCATGTGCTGACAGCTTCGTTTAATGCCTTGGTAGAGCTTCATGTGAGAGAAAGAAATGAGCTGGTGCGACGTGCTCCAACTTTATGCTTGAAAGCACTCAAACCTTCGAGTTTGGAACGACAGAATGTGAAGCTTGTCATGAAGATCTTCAACATTCTTACTGTTGCAGCACCTTTAAGCACCAAGGTTGCAACATTGCAGCATGCCAAAGGCACAGCTGAATTTATTAACGTTATCGTTGGGTGGTGGTGCATAGTAAATGTGAAAATGCCAAACAAGGGCCGGCGTCTTCGGGACAAGCTTCAGGTGCCCATAACGGTAGTGTCTTGCCCCCAAATTGATTTCCTGAACAAAGTAGTCAAGTGGCTAGACTACTGGGAAAGCCTGAAGCATGATGCAGGCCACCTCACAAATGTGACACACAATGCACTTCGTCACACATCGCTTGCTTTAGTTCAAATGTCGCGTTACTGTATTGAAGAACTCGGCTTCAAGTACGTCCTTCTTGATAAATTTCAGTCTGACTGCCTTGAAGATAGTTTTGGACGGTACCGACAATTGTGCGGCGCACAGTACCACATCTTGATCCGCCAAATATACGAGTCGGAACACAAACTCAGATTGCAGAAGGTTCTTGAGCTTCCCAAGTTCGACGACATCTCGCTGTATGCCCGCACTGATGGGGTGAATGCTGGCGTGAAGCAGTTTGATGTTGAAGTGACAGCAGTTGACGTTGAAAAAAAAGAACACATGCTCCCAGCTATTACATACGTGGCTGGGTACTGTGCGCATGCTGCGCTGAAAAAGCGCATGTGCCCATTCTGTAACGAGAACCTTATGGTAGACAACCGCTCTCTTGAAACTGAGGCAGAAGAGCTCATTGGCGGGTGTAACAAGAGGTGAACTAAAGTTCCCGCAGGCCGTGGTTGTAAATGCCGTGCTGACAAGGAATATTGTGCTGGAAAAATTGAGCAGCGAATGGTATGCGATAAAATTATATTCTTGTGAAAAGCAAAAATATTTGCTTGTGTCCCTGACAACACCCCTTGTTGAGTATAACGAGGACCTGGGCGTCTGTGAAAACGGCCATTTACCTCACTTGGTGATGGGTTATGTACTAAGTGCGGCTGCCAACACATTGTTGAATAACTTGTGAAAACGAGAAAACAACATGCTTGCTGAAGCCAAAGCAGCAAAGCGGAAACTGAAGACGCTTCAGGCATAAGCGCATAACGTCTGCTATCATTTCGACTGCTGCCTGGAAATTGTCACACAAGTGTTTTTTTTTCTGTGTTCTGACTTATTTGTGTTTATTGTTCTCTTCAATTTGTGCAAACAATTTATTTGGAGACATTGCTGTATGTTGTTTACAACTTTGAGGATTTTCTTTTTGCTTTGTTTTGTTGGAAATGCTGATGTATTATTATTTTTGTTTGATACTTTGTTTATGAATGTGTTATCAGTTCATTTGTTGAAGCTATTCCTGAGAAACTGTATCTTTGCCACAAACCCAAGTTCTTACGTGTGTTACAAGCCTATTTCATAAACTTGTCAAGCTTATTCCTGCAAATTAAAGAGTGTAAATCTGTACCCCCGAAAAGCAGTTGTGATGTTTTAATAATTGATGTGAAAATCGGGGCGCCAGGACTCTTGCTTTTAATTTTGTTAATTAATATGTTCACAAATCGTGCGTGAGTCCTGGACTCGTTAAATGTTTGCAGACATAGATGACATGAAAGTGAGAATTAGAAGAATAAATACAAAACACGACTTGAAACGTCCTACGAGCGCCAGTCTATTTCGTGTGCGTTTCTTCTTCGTCCTTGTTTTGCGCTATTAACCTTTTAAATAGTCATGAACTAACTAGCTCAAACCAAAGTCTTAATTCCTACGAGCTTTTCTGAAGTAAAACGTATTGTCACTGTTCCAGTCTCGAACATTAAGCGCCGAGAACGAAAAGACTCGCATTACAAAGCCTGATCGAGTGGGTGAAGCCAGCTTCCAGGCCGATCTCACTTCGATGACGTCACGGGAGCTTGCGGAGGCCTTGAGATAGTCTAGGTGGTGTTGATATATCACGAACCTGGTTCTTGCCACGGTTCAATAACGATAAATAGACGAGAGGAGCAGGAGCGCAAGGGTGAAGTTGAGCCATTTTTTGTTCTGTTTTTCCAGGCGGCCTTAACTTTTTTTTTCTTCTAAAACTGCTTTGGGACTGTCGCAGGACAGTAGGGTTAAAAGCTGAAGCTCTTCTAACTCTCTGACGCACTTGTTTGGCTCCCCTTCGAAATCTTCGTACCGTCAAACACGACTGAGGAATGGGCAGCCACATGGCATCCATGCATTTTAAACACATTTCTAGATATTTGGCTGTGCGAGGAGGAAGGTTTCCTTCCCTGTGTCAAGTCATTGCTCCTGCAGAAGTTTGGATCGGCTTTACCCTATAGTGCACCTCTCAAACATGTAGAAGTACAGTTGCGAACTTCTTGTTACGCACTTTATTCTGGGAACATGTAGGCTTTCTTCATGATTCGAATATTTTCTTGGTATATGAGGGGTAAATTTTAAGATGCAGATATCACGCTACGAAAACCAGATGCATTTAAAAAAAAGTATTTTAATATGCTAAAATATTTTCATTGTTTTTGCATTCTGTATATAAATGTATTTTTGTTATAGTTCTATTTATACTCAAATACAGTTTTGCCTAAGCATTTTTATTTTGTATTTTGATACATTTTGATGTATTTTGCCAATGCCCCTAGTAAATTCTTGGAAATGAAACTGCTATCTCCACTATGCCCTTGTTTGTTCTATTTGGTTCTTTTTTATATTTTAAGACTGCCGTTCACCCCAAACTAACATGTATAAAGGGCAGAATCAACCATTTTCACTGTAATTAAGATATACAAAAATAGCACTGTTCCTTTATGAGCCCATTCTGTATAAGCTTTTTATTTTGCAAAACGTATATACAAAAGTTTAACGAAACCTGTAACAAACTTCACTTATAAATGTAGAAAACAATATTGTGCAGGGAGGCATCTCACTAGCAACCTCTCTGACGTTTAATCTTGGTCTTAGCATAAAGCTATGGAATACTTCTCGGCAAATAAATAATCTTTGGGCACTGTCGCCTCGCGTCCAGCAATGAAGATCCAGAAAGAGGCGGGTTATCGGACGGGGCATCGTCACTTCTTGGGAGGAGGCACGTTCTGGGCGAAACTGCCGATCATGTTCCCTGCAGGGTTGTAGTTGGCCACGACGAGGAGCTTCCCCGTGGCGGTGCGCGCCCTGCCGGTGCCCAGCTCGGTGCTCCCCTTCCAGATCACCTGGGTGAAATGGCCGCTGCCCAGGCTGCGAGGCTCACCGCCGAATCGGTGGTCCTTGATCTCGCTGTACCAGGAGTCTACCGCTTCGCGCCCTGTTAAAAATAAGTTTTCTTGTTATGCATTTATGCTTACAAAAGCATCTCCGACAAAAATTATTAGAGTTGTTTTCACCTCAAAGATTAACCACGCACCGCCGAACCCTCACTTTCCGTCCAGATGTAGCGCTAGCTATAAGACCTGATGCCAAAATTTTATAGAAAGTCGTGATCTGATTGAAACTTAGACGATATATATTTTTAAAGTGTTTAATAAGAAAAGGGTCGCCGAAGAATTCCACCAATGCACGATTCTGAATGGAGCCACACAAGGGGAACGGGCTCCATTCTGAGTGCTCACAAAATTCGAGAGCCGACCAAAATGTATCTGTCTAGAAGCAGCTTAAAACTCGGTGTCTCTTCTATATAGGAAGGGGAAACAATGTTTTCACGTACCTGTCACTTCCTTGGTTGGATCCGATGACCAGGCCATGTATATGTTTTCGCCGTACTTGTGTTCTTGTCGGTGTTCAAACCGGTCCCTCTTTGCCAAGTTGTCTGCCCATTCTTGTGCGTACTTGCACAGCTGCCAAACAACATAGCACAAAAGTAAAAATAAATCCAGCTATTGGATTGGCAGGTTTATTGTTTTCTACCACTCAAAGAGTGATTAGCTTTTTCACTTCAGGTATATTTAATGTTCATAATTCAAATGTTCTATCGGCGTTTTAAGCAGCGGTGTTAATGTGGGCTTTGTTCATTCCTTTTATAAACCGAACGTTCGCTGGGACGTCAAAGACTGAGCAGCGCCTGGTGGTTCTTGCAAAGAAAAACGTCTATATTATCGAGTAGAGACGTACAAGCCGCCTTCGGAACCTACATTTTTTTTTATAAAGTAGATAGTATTTACTTGAGAAATCACTTCACGTTATTCGACCAAGTCGAACTTACCTGACTACTGTGCTTCAGGGGTGGAACTCCATGAATTGCCCTGTAGTGATTGTGCCACTTGAGACTGTCCTCCTGGAACTCTTTCTCGCTCATCGCCTTGGCAGGCTTCGAAGGCTGGACATCGACGGCAGCGGGTTTCGGTTCCTTCTTGCCAAACCAGGAGGACAGGACGCTCTTCCTGGGCTTGGAATGCTCCGTCGTGTCAATCAGCGAGTCTCCGCCATCGGTGACCACTTCTTCGCGGACCTCCTCCGTGCCATCCGGATGACGGACAACTGTCCTCTTGACCATGGTCCTGGTGACTTTCTCGCACTCGAAGGCACCATCCGAGAAGCCGGACGACGTTCCTGTCACCTGGACCACTCGCCGCGTGGTCCTTGTGGCTGTGACCATGCCGGACTGTCGGGGGCAAAATAGGAATGTTCTTAAAGTGGTGTCTTAAAGTCACGCAGCGAGTTCAGGATCCCCTAGGGCTACTGACAACTTAAGAACTCAGGGCGTGTCCAGTCTTGTGCATTTTATTTTGACGCCACAGCCTGTGTGTATCGGCCAATGTCACAGGCTGTGACATTGGCCAATAAGGAGGCCGAAGAACGAATCACGCAGCAAGAAGCGTAATCGTGATAGGTCACATCCTGTGTTTCTTAAGCTGTCAAAACGAGTGTAAATGAATCTGGTGATGCAGCGTTTCACCACAACTCAGTGAGCAGACAAAGGCTAAAAGACTTACAAACACAGGCGCAAAGACTAAAAGCGCAAGGTTGCAGCGCGTTCACAGCGCTTGCTTTGAGCCTGTTGACAGCACGACACGCACGAAAAATGTTAATAAAAGAAGCCACAAATACCGTGATGTTGCCATTTAGGCGCTGCTTGATTAGCTCTACGGTCTTGTAATGTTGACAGCGCTCTGAGTTATGGTGAAGCAGCATAGTTTTTTTTTTTTTTTCATTTCACAATACTGCCAGCCCTGTTAAGGGCCAAAGCAGGAGTGGATAATACAAAAACAAAGAATGTACACTGCGTTCTGTACATCGCACACGTACACACAAAAAAAAGCCGGTGTTACAAATCCGCTTACAGAGGCGTGCCAAAAACACACATATATATATATATATATATATATATATATATATATATATATATTTTTTTTTTTTTTTTTTTTTTTTTATTCAAACAGCACACGTAGAGCTTTCTCGAAATCAGAAATCGACTCGAGAGCAACAACAGCACCTGGAAGTTTATTCCAAGAATCTATAGCCTGCACAAAAATGATTGTTTAAATATATTTATACGGGCGTGAATGGGTTCGAGCACTTTCGGGTGATGTAAGCGCTCTGAACGGTGGCTTTTGGGTGTTACATATTTAGAGCTGTCGATTTTGAGAAGGTGATTATAAATTTGAAAAAATAATTTCAGGCGTTGACATATTCTCCTTTTTTTCGAGGGCTGCATGTCTGCCTGCTTTTTTAGCTCCGTCACAGACGTCGTAGTCCTGAAATCAGAAAATATCGTACGCACCGCAAGTGACTGAACCTTTTCAAGCTCATTAGAAAGCGTGGCCTGCAAGGGATCCCACACCTCGGAAGCATACTCCAGTGTTGGTCTTACAAGAGCTTTGTAGGCAACAAGCTTAACCGAGGGAGGTGTCCTATACAACTTCCTTCGTAAATACCAAAGTTTTTTAGTTGCCTTTTTTGTTACATAATCCACATGTTTGTTCCATTTCAGATCGCTAGTAATAACCACACCCAAGTAGTTATAGCTGTCAACTTTAGTAAGCCTGACATAATCAAGCTCGTAGTCAAAGTAAAATATATTTTTTTTTTATTCGTGAAGTGCATGTATTGAGTTTTCTGGGTGTTTATTATCATATTCTTTTCACTACACCATGACGAGATGCGATATAAAATATCATTTACTTCTATCTGATCGTTAACTGACGAAATGGGAGCATATATAATACAATCATCGGCAAACATTCTTACTTTCACGCGCCCGTTACTACAGATAGAACACACACTGTTAACATAAATTAAGAAAAGCAAGGGACCCAACACGGGGCCCTGTGGAACCCCTGAGTACACGTCCAACAATTCCGAAAAGGTGCCATTTACATCGACGAACTGCCGGCGATTTCTGAGATATGCGCTAATCCATCTTATAATCAATGAAGGAACACCGTAGTTAATTAAAACATTAATTAGTTTAAAATGTGGTACTCGATCGAACGCTTTAGACAGATCTATAAAAATGGCATCCACTTGCAGGCGATTATTAACATAACCGGAAATCTCATGATAGCATTCAAGTAGTTGGGTTGTTGTTGAATACCCTTTCCGAAAACCATGCTGATTGGAACTTAGGATGCCCTTATTCTCCATAAAAGAAACTAGCTGTTTATTCACAATGTGCTCTAGTAGCTTACATGACGTACAGGTCAAAGAAATGGGGCGATAATTATCAACTGAATCACCCTTCCCACTCTTTTTCACGGGCAAAACTCTTGCTAATAACCAATCGTCCGGTAAAACAGAGTCTCGGAGTGAAATGAAGAATATAATTGTTAAGTATTTCGCACCCATTCAGCGTATCTTCTTAGAAATTCATTTGGAACAGTATCTGGTCCTGGCAATTTCCTAGTATTAATTGATAACAATAAGGATACGATACCTTGTTCCGATACAAAACCACTCACATTAGGGCCTTCATCGTTGGGAATGCTGCTGAATTCAGTTGAATCTATTGTAAACAATGACTGAAAATAGTGATTGCATTGAGACGACATTATGGCCCTGTCGTGCACAACGTTGTTATTAACACGTAACTGACTTATCTTAGTCCGTGACGGAGTAAGCTAACGCCAAAACTTTTCAGGGGAGGATGAAATGAATTCTGGCAATGACTTTGTAAAATAGGTTTCCTTGGCTAGCTTTATCAATGTTTTTAACTTGTCACTCTGCTCACAGATAGCAGGAGAATGATGCTTTCGAAGCATCATTCTCCTGCTATTTGTTTGTAAATGAGAAGAACATAAAACACACAGAAGGACAAGACGATTTCCTTAGCATTTTGTGTGCTTTTCATTAATTATATTACCCTTACCAGCATGCTCTCCTTTTCGAGCAGAGTAGAGTGAACGTCTGATTTTATTCGAGCTCTAGGGCGAAGCATCTTTTTCTGTCACAACTCTATGGTAACCATGACTCTGGTTAGAGGCAGCCTTTTATTTTATTATACTTATTACTGAAAAAAAACGCAGAAATTAATCAGTGAACTCTCCTTCCTTTCATCGTAAGCCACAGTAGTCAGAGACTAAAACATACAAACACGAACACGCATACTAAAAAAGCGATGCCACAACTAATTCACCGAGTATGGTTGGTTTCGTCACTGATAACATACGCAAGAAACTTTGCGAACGCAACGGCGTTGCGCTTTGGCGCTGCTTGACTGGCCATATCGGCTGGAAGGGTGGTGAAAAATTAGTTCAATACTAAGGTGAAGCTAAGTACAGGCTTTTAAGGTAGAAGTAAAGCCCACATCAGACGGCGTTAAAGCTACAAACTTATTGCACAAATTCAGTCGTACATCTCTACTGCGTGGTGTACGCTAAAGACGCCAGGTTAGTAGTTGCACTACCCAGGTTAAATTTTTCATCTACAGCAAAAAGGGCCAATTGAGGCTTTTTAGCTTCCCGCGCTCTATAATGACAGGAACAGCACAATTTAGAGACTAAGTGTGTTAGCGAAATTCCCCCGTTGGGCACAGCGGTTTACTCCAATTTCTTTCGAACATTAATTTTATTTAAGCACAATTTTTTTTAACGTAAATGGATATTAAAATTTTCTTTGCGTTTTAAGTATAGTGATTCTTTCAGTGCGCCTTCGCTTGGTGGATGTTATGTACAGCCGGGAGGAAAAGTTTGGGCGGCACGGTAGCGCGTGCCGAAATGCATCGCCGCGCCGTCCGACGACGCGCCGCCACATTCAGGAGTCGCCCTTCCGCATGCGCGCCATTCGTGGTCGCCATCATGTCACTTTCGCTCGTTTCTTTCCGACGAACTCCTGATAAGAAAAGTCGGTCGCGTTAGCGCTTCGCTGGCTGTCATGCTGCGCGTCTGCTTCAGCCGCCTCGGCCGCCGCGATTTGTAACGGAGCACGCGGGGTGGGGAAACCAGGCGCTTCGTCACCCAGCGTGGCTGCTGAGGCAGCTGAAGAGGACGCAAGGCATGGCAGCCAGCGAAACGGCAACTTGCGCACCTGTCGCCGACTCCGGTTATCAGGAATGCGTCGCACAGAGACGAGCGAAAGAGACATGTCTGCCTGCGTGAAGTGCGCGCATGCGCAAAGCGCGGCTTTTTAATGCGGCGACGCGCCGTTGCACGGCGCGGTGATGCATTTCGGCACGCGCTGCCGTGCCCCGCAAACTTTTGCTCCCGACAGTACCTTTTTAACCATCTCAATAAAACTAAGATGTCCTAGAATCGCCATGTTCTCGCTAATTTGCTATGATAGGTGGCGAACATTCTTACCTTGTCTACGTGAGTCGTCACAGTCTCCTGGGTCCCATTTCCAGCCGACATGCCTGCGCAAAAGAAGGTATGGCGTCAAACAAACCACTGGTTTAACATTCTTAAGGTGGAATCACGTAATACTTCCCCATTTAGTGTTAGCACTATGAATTAAAAACAATTGTGTTGATAAGTCACCAGTTTTTATGATACTCTATCTGGTTTTTTTTTTTTTTGAGTACTGATTGTTATAAAATACCATTTTTATGATTTTAAACGCAGTGTAGGATAGTGCGTTTTATTTCATGCGCCCGTATTTTTTAGGTCATATCTTGCTTCGATTAAAATGCAAAATGTTCACACTGAAAAGGTTTTTTCTAACTACATGTTTTTGAATATCACATGTTTGTTTTTAGTGCATTTAGCTTCTTTCGTTGAAGCGGGAAAGAGAGCTATTTTTTTTTGTGTCTCAAGTGGAAAATTACCTGCATCTATCAATTCCAAAAGTCATTCCGCGTTAAATGCATAATAATTTAAACAATATCTCGTAAGCGATATGTGATGTCATGATTCGGATTCTGCTATATTGAGTCTGAATACAAGCTAATTTTTAATAAAAATACGTTCATTTATTTTTTACATTTTGCCAATGAATATGCTGTCTTCTCATAACAAAATTATAAAATGCCCAGGTCACACGCGTGACACAAGCGTTGCAATCTTAGGAGCCTGACTTTTGCATAATATTATATTGCTACAAGGCGTTATAATTAGCTCCAGACTACTTTCCTTTGCTCTTCTATGGGCCGCCTCGGTGGCTCCGAGGCAAGAGCGCCGGCCTACGGATCCCCAGGTGGAGGGTTCGAATCCCGACCGAGGTGCCCGCAATATGACGGAGGCTTATTGCGGAGGAGGCGCCGGTTAACCGAGCTTTCGGTTGCACGTCAAAAGTTCCCCAGGAGGTCGAAATTAATCCTCAGTCCTCCGCTGGGGCATGTCAGACGCCCGTCGCAGGTTTGGCATGTAAAACCCCCAAATTTGACTTTTTTTTGGTGTTTTTATGGCCTTTCATTCACACGTCACGTAATTTCCGAAGTGTAAAACTTGACAAAGAAGCCACATATGAAGCGAAGAACCAACAGAAAAGCATAAATCTTGCACTTGTTTGGCAATTTATGCCCAAAGTTGGGACATAAAAACCCAACTACAAGACTTGAAGCCACACTCTGGCACTTGTTCGGCGATTTAAGCCCAAGGGTGACAGATGAGAATCGATCTACCAGCAAATAAACCTAACTTTGGTACTTCTGTGGTGATTGAAAGCAAAGATACACAGACTATGGTCAAAGAAGGTCAGGTTTCGCTCTGCTTTGACTTGTGGTATTTTTAAGCTTTCTAAAGCCAAAAAGCAAACTTTGGTCTAAGTAATTGTGCTCCCAGAGCTCCTTCAACTGATATCTGTTGGTGATAGTGAGTACGCATTGTCTTGTTGCTCAGAATCTACGGATGTCTACTTCTTCTTTTAATTTGAGATCCATAATGCATTTTAGAAAACGGGTTATATTGATATCTGCGCAACCTTATCCCAATTTTTTAATTTTATTATTTTTGCCTACTTTTATATTTTCTGTGAACTATTTTTACGGCAACCATTTGGAAGTGGTTAATCGAATTCGTATAAAGTATTCACTTCCCAAATGACTTCAGAAGAAATACGTAAAAAAAGTATTTATTTTAAATTGATACCATATTGGCTCGAGTAATAGCCGCACTGCTTATGAACAAATTCTGTGGGCCTGCTTTCTGAGCATGGGGATAGGGAATCACCACGATCGGCAGAAAAAGGACAGCAATTTGCGTGCAAAGATAACGTCTTCACGCGAAAATGCTATCTGCTCAGATGGCGATTTTACGAAGAATCGTGCTGTCAACCTCGTTATTAACAGTTTTTTTTTTTCTGTTTCTTTTTACAAATTACGATGATTGGTTGTTTTTGTGTTTTGCATGCAAGTAGATTCAAGGGTCTTGTTCATAACAAGAGCGGCTCTTACTCGATCAAATACGTTATACTCGTTATCTGGCACTCGGTGTAAGTAATTTCCCACTTATCAACGGTTTGAATTATATAAAGCCATCCAGATCGTCCTTTTAAATAGTCCGCTTCGCATATACTCGGTATTTAGTTTTGAACTCGCACTATAACAAAAAAGAAGTTAATCCGTTGTTCAAAGAAGTATGAAGGTCAGAAAACAACAAAGACCAAGACGAAGTACAATAACACGAGGTGCTGTAGGAACTCCAATAGTTCAAACAAGAAGCCAGGCCTGAGTTTGCGCCAAGCATGATTATGTGCGTCGTCTCGTTATCTGACTGGCCAGAGCATGCACGTGCTCTGAGACGCCGCCAAACTGCAACGCCAGATCTTGATCTCCATCATATAATTGATAATATCCCCAAGTACGGTGAGACATACATTGAACTATACTGTGATATGCGTTAGCAAGACTTCACAAAGAGAAAACGCAACGGCTCATTCGGGCCAATCAAAGCACAGGAGCAAGGCAGGTGACAGCTCTCTACAGGAGAACAATCCAACGGTACGTTGTAACATGTGCCGCTCCGACACTCTGGTGGGATCGCAGGTCCCGTAGCTTTCGCCGTTGGCCAAGTTATGCTGAGACGAAGCCAAGACACGAGCAACGCATTCCCATAAATTTCAAAAGTTTCTCACGGAAGTCTCGAAGCGAGAGTTAGGTACTTTTGCAGGCTTCTAGCATGAAAGGACATAAACGACGCCATGAGTTTCGCTTTAAGTTCTTAACACACTCTTTACTTTCTCCGTGCTTCGACTACCATCCCTTGTAGTGCATCGGAAATTATTTTTAGACTAAAGACGGGGGTACAAAAAAACCCTTAAAGTGACTCAGACACACTCCTACAGTCACCGACATCCGATAGGAAACGAAGGACGGGGAGAGTTCCGAATGTCTTATCGACACGCCGGAGCCAATGAAATTCCGGGATCGGCCGATAAGAACGTCGAAGCACCAGTGAGAAAGCAAGAAACGTGAACATAAGTCTCGCCCCGTGTTTGTTCAGCTGACATTGACTAGTCGTTAGAAAACGTTGGAAAAATTCCTAAAATAATTTTTATACTTCTCATTTTTGTCACGAGATACGAGCGCGGTCTCCTGATAAAATATCGAGGTTGTTTTTAAACAGACAACAAGACGCGGATTTTTTTTTTTTTTCATGCCGGAGTGCTTATTGCTGATACGGTATTTTGAGCACATCCACTCGAAATTTCAGAAAACAATTCGAGGCGAACCAACAAAGAGCTCAATATGTCTGTATTTTTTCGCCACATGCAAAAAAGCGCGAAATTATTTAAGAAAACAATGTAAGCTAACACCACAACACAAATCGCGGTAGTTTTAGGTCTACCTATATAATTGATATTAAACATTTCATTTTAATTAACAATTGGTTTTATGCAAATCTGAATTCTAGTCTTTATTTCTGTTTGAATTACTCAACAAATTTACTCTTAGAGGAACCTTAAAGATGTTCGTTGCCATGGTCAGGCAAAGAAACAATTATGCAGAAAAGTACCACTTCTTAGACTCCCATATTCACTGAAACAACCTTCTGACTATAGATATTGTTATCAAAAATAGTTGCTCACGAAAGGGCGTAGATGCCGGAGGTAAAAGTATGCATTCAGACGGGACCGAGTTTCGCATAACCCAACCCGCGCTTTCTACCCTTTTGTACTAAAGGTTAGCAGTTGGAACCATAGTCAGTAGGCTTGCACTGTCTAGAGCAAGTTAACCTATCACAGCCTAGGCAAACCTACACTCCAATAAATATGGAGCATCGACTTTCCCGCAAGTAACCTGAGAGAGTCGATCACTGAGATCTAACGAAATGACCATGCTGAAATTATGAGTAGAAGAAAAAGAAACCCTCTGCACAGTTGCATTAGAATTCACGTCTCTCTAAGCCCAGCGCCGCAGCCCGGGCTCTTCTTGGGTGTAAACTTGCGTTCAGTTTCGTCTTTCGCCAAGCTAATCTCAATTTACTGCAGCGATTGGCCTCCCCACATAACTTGCCGGAAAGTAGACGTTCCATATTTTTTAGAATGTAGCCAGCGTCGTCTAGAATACTCGAGCCTATTCTAGGCATAACCTGGCATACCTTCAGCCATAAGTAATTGCCAATTGCTTAAAACGAAATAAACGTGTTCATATATAAATATATGAAACCAATTCCACACAGAGGGTGACACTTCTCCAGACTAGAAATATAGCCAGCTTCGTCGCGTATTCAAGGGCCTAAACATGAAATGATTTTCATTAAACAACCACGTTATTTAAGTTTGTATTAGCTTTTCTGAACCACTGTTCCTCTCAAAAGGCACGTGCAGTGCGCCTCAAACGTTACGCTGCCACGGCGTTTTCCGTTCCTGACAATCCCTGCGGGGTCCGATTGAACTATCTGAAGAATGTCTGGGTTCCCGATTTCTATCCAATCCTGAGAAGGTATCCCGAACGTTTTGGTGACAAATTTAACAATAAGTAGCCGACACAAGCTCGATGTTTCGGAACTCAGTGGCGGAGTTAAGTTTGCGGAGCGCTGTACATAGAGCGACACTGTTAGTGACAACAACACATTGTCGGTTTCTTTCGGACATACCTTTAGAAGTGAACGGAAGTCACCAGAATTACTAGTGTGGTGGAAATTGCTTATTTAGAGCACAAACCTAAGTGATAAAAATTGGTACCGACAAAAAAAACCTTATTTAGTAAAACGTGAAAAAGCCAACACGTCGTGATTGTGCTAACGGTGTACGCAGTCCACTTTCGTAGGTTTTCCTTTCTCTAGCGAAGGGATATATATGAAGCGCAGAAAATTTCACTTAACAAAAAAGTTGCCAATGGTTAAGTACCTGCCCAACAATATTAGAACGTACGTATCGTATCAAGCGAGTGCGTTTTTTCTGTTTTATGGTATTTAACTGCCCCCTTACGTAATGCAATAACTGGGCCTTTAAGGTGAAATAAATGAATGAAGA